ATTATTTCGTGGGTAGGCCGAGCCAATTGCAAGCAATCATGCCAATGACTGGCACTTCATGTAGCCAATAAAATTCTGACAATAAAGATATCCAGCTTTAAGTAGGAAGTTCATGATCTACCAGCAAAAAACACATCTGCGTCGAGCTACCGGCTGATATGGAGCGATGCAGCAGCAGAAAAAAATTGTTATAAGACATAACAAACCTGTGTAAAATAATAATGTTTCATGCTATTGGTATGAAATTTAAATCAGGACTAGGTAAGGCTTTATCCTGTGGCCCTACAGTGTTTTCAGGTTAACAAGTCCCAGCTATAGTTGTCTGCATGCATTTGTTAGCAAGCATTTTCAAGAGGAAATGAAAATTATATTAGTTTTAGTGTGTTTAAACGTATATTAATCAGTTCCAGTAACACTTACAGTCATTCTTTAGGTTAGACACTCCAGAGTGTTATCTTTCGGAGCCCAAAACCATGCATATACTCCCAATAGTTCAAGAACTACATTCAATTTACTTTGGATATGCCTTGAATAGGCATTTTGCATGAATTTTACAGGAATGTAAAGAAGCTAACTAAAGGTGTGTTTTCATGTAGGTTAAAAGTAAACGTCCCTGATGGTGGAGAAGTTGGTGAGCAATGGAAACCGCGTGCATTAACTGTAATTTACTTGACCACTAAGCCTTCCGCTCCACTGAAGAAACTAAAAATAGCAGCAGTGTAGATCCGTGTAGAGCCATGAGGAGACTGAAACTCAAATTAATAGATGAAACCAACATAAACGCCATAGTTCCATCGGAATGTCCACAGTTTTATTTATTTTTTTGGATGGAAACCTGGTTGTGGTTGTTTTATTGTTTGTCAATCAAGAGTTTAAATGACAGCATGCACCATTCACAACATCCTAAACAAAGTGAACCAAGTGGGAAAAAGAACCAGAGTTTGAGTGAACACACATTACACAAGTTAGATATGAATGCACAATCACACTCAGTGAGGAGCAGGGGAAGTTAGTGCCACAGTCTGTGAGCAGCTGGCCTCTAACCATCTGCCCTCTTGTCCTTTCATTAAAATTAACATTTAATTCCTTTCATAATCAAAATTACAGGTCTGCACAGTCTGTCTATGCATTCAAGCAGGGGCAATAGTGATTGCATTCATAAGCCAGAATTTGATTAGATAACCGAGTTGGGTAATTAGACCAAGAGAGACCTGACTTGGTTGTAAAACTTTCTTTTCTGACCACTTTGTTGTGTTTTGTTAACAACATTTGTTGGATTGGAAACACATTAGGGAACTGGTGGTGGAGGATGTATTAAAGAGGTCATATTATGCTCATTTTCAGGTTCATAATTTTATATAGGGGTTGTACCAGAACAGGTTTACCTGGTTTCATTTTCAAAAAACACCATATTTTTGTCATACTGCACATTGCTGCAGCTCCTCTTTTCACCGTGTGTTGAATGCTTTGTTTTAGCAATGGAGTGATACATCTTGCCTCTACATGATCTTTGTTGGGAGTTGCACATGCACAGTTCCAAGGTAAAGACAACTAGCCAATCAGAAGCAGAGTAGGGCGGGTTGTGAGAAGCCGGTAGACGGCTTCAGTTCAGCTGTACATGTTCCTCTTACCAGCTTAGCAACTTGGACTGGAGCAAGAGTTTCAGAGTGGTGAGTTATTAATCTAAACATCTTTCATCCATAAAGTTTTAACTGAGCTCTGTCTCTACATCACAGGAACAACTTTCTGTCCATTGACTGCCTGGAGGGCAGCTAGTGTTTGGAAGGGAGAGGAGAGCTGTGTGCTGCAGCTCAGAGTGTATTTCCACTGATGTTTTTGAGGGTGTGTTGGACTAGCCGATTGGCGAGCATTATGACGCACATTTTGTTGTGACATCACAGGCATTAAAGGGAAGTGGCTAGACAAAAAAACGAGCTGTTTTCAGTCAGTTCAGAGCAGAGTTTTCTGTGGGAGATGGGAACTCCCTTTGGGCTGGACTTTGGGCTTTTTCACTTTGCAAACCTATTACATGCACAAAAAAGAGATGTAACTCAATAAAGGAGAGGGAAAAAGCCAAAAGAAAGAGTATAAAAATAATATTCTTAAGTAAAAGTACTATTACTTTGATTAACTTTTACTTAAGTACAAGTAAAGTTAACGGTATTAAAATCTACTCAAGTAAAAAGTGACTAATTTAAGTTTGAGAATGTTTGACAGAACCGATTAGACTCTGGAGGGCCGCACTGGACTGTATGAAGTCATATCTCTATTTACATTGTGGTAATTTTAATGGGATATCATAAGTGTTCGTATAGTTGCTCCAGAGGCCTGAGACCTCTGACATATGTAACAATTGTAAGTCGCTTTGGATAAAAACGTCAGCTAAATGAATGATGTATATGCAAATGTAGTATAGTAAATAAGTAGTTGCTAATGCCAAACAACATTGTCGTGCACCAATGACTTTTTGGCTATTTGGAGCAAAGCATCTTACCAAACTATGAAAACTTATTTTTAACCACCAATGGAAAAGTAGGCTATTATTTAACTGACCTCTACATCAGGGGTCCTCAACTAGAATTTGCTCAAGGGCACAAATTTTTCTAAGCAGACACTTTCTTAAATAATTGCCATATTACTGTTTAGTATTTTCAAGTTTTGCTAAATGAACGTTTTTATTAGCTTATATCATCACTTTATGCTGCACACAACTTGAGTCTGTGAACAGCAAAAGTGAAAGGAGTCGGTTACCTGGCTGAGAAGGTGGAGGTGTGCAGCCTGTCGCCTGCAGCTTTTCATCTAACAGCTCACTGTGTCTTGTGCCTGTTGCATCACTCACTGCAATATGTCAAACTGGTCTGCTGCAAGAAAACTGATGGTTGCATTTTTGATGAATGAGAGTGGTCATCGCTAATCTAATTTACAAAACAGATTGCATTTCCTGTGACTACTTCAAAATAAATAACTTGTGAAATGTTCAGTTTGCATTAGCAGTAACTTAACACAGCATTTCTTCAGCTTACACTGCATGATAAAGAAGAAAAACACTCAATTACAGTAAAGTCAGTAATTGTAATGTGTTACTTTCCACCTCTGCGCTTGTCAACCTTGCCACTCGCCAGGTTGAAAAGTACGAAAGTTACCCCTTAAAGCCCCTAAAAACTTTAATAAATGAACAATCCCTTAATCCTCTATGGTACGGTGTTGCCTCTGGGCAACATACCCTTTTTGCCCTAGTACACCTCCACCAAACATCCCAAAAGATGATGCATTACTTTAAAAGAGTTGCAGGGCCTTAAGGAAAAAATAGCAGTGTTAAAATTTGTGACGTGATTCTCTGGCGCCCATTAAGAATCCTTTTACTGCTGCTTTTGACATATGGCTCAGCTCCATATACTCTCTGCACTAAACTGCCCTCAAAACATATTTTTATGACACTTTTTGACCCAGAAAAATGATATTCATAATAATAGGTAAGTAAAGTTTCATTGTTAGTTGTTTAATATAATTTATTTGATAATTATATAATGGAAAATAGTTGAAATGCAAATGTTGCCTTGAAGCAACATCATACCATTATGGAATCCTGCCATGCAATTTTTTCATTAGGTTTATGTACTGAAGCATAACAGTTAACATAATTTTATTTTACCTTAATTAATTCATTAATTATACATTTGATAATGTTGGTTGTAATAACACTGTAATAAAGTATTACACTGGATATTTTAATCTTAAGCTTTGTTATCCTGCCTGCAGAGCACATGTTTATTTTAACACATTGTCCTTCCATTTAGAGGATGAACACAAAGTTTTTCTATGGTTCATTAAAGAAAAGGGCACTTCCAGTTGATGGTAGTGAGGATGAATAAGGATTCAGTAGTGAGGAAAACAGTGAGTTTCTGGAAATCCTGTTAGAAAAGTAAGAGTGATTGTGAGGATGAGTCTAAGAACGCACATGAGGAAAAGAGTGAAGAAGAGCAGTGAGGATAAAAGTGCAGTGACAGGTATGAGTATAAGACAGGGAGGAAACCTATGTAATAGCTTCTTTTCACTTATTGATAATGTGATGCATTTTGTTGACTTTCTGTGTTTTGTCAACTACAAAAACTTGTCAAAACAAGTATTGAGCCAAATGGCACCAGAAAACTGAAGAGACACATTTAAACAAATTATGACAAATTATGAATTGATAGAAGGAAGCTCTGTCTTGATTTTAGTTTTTGATGTTTAGATTTAAAGATTTTTATTGTAAACTTTGTTGAAATATGTGTACGCTCTTTTTTGCATTCATTCCTATAGGCGGTTCCATAATGGTACAATGTTGCCTGAGGGTAACGTTGTGACAAACAAACCTATGTAAAGAGTTTATTTTTTATATTTACACATTTAAATTGATTGTATTTTAAACTGGTAAAGCCACTGAACATTTTCCATTTTCATTGATTATTTTAAGAAATTTTATTCAAACTTTAAATAATAACTCTCTTTTTCTATTCTTTACCATTATGGTACAGTGTTGCTTTAAGGCAACGTACACCAAATTTACCCCCAAAATATATATATTTTAAATTTCTGGTCCATTTAATGACAAAAAACACAACAATAATTTTATGCGTGCCATAGAGGGTTAAACAAGTTAAACTTTGAAAACCAACATCGTTAAGTAAAATACATGAATAGGCTACTTTAACACTCATAAATGCTTATTTGCTTCATCTGGACTTTGTGCGTGTAATCTGACATTGAAAGTGCTAGCAACATAAACAATTAAACAACCCCACACATGATTAAAACGTTGCTGAATCCTAACAGGTGCAAGTCATGGTCACAGTTCTGCTGTAAGGAGCAGCCCCGTTGAGTTCAGGTGGGAATCAACCGGATTAGGTAAGGTTTATTTTGAAAGAGAAGACCGGAAGTTGTGAATCGTTTTGCTCCCCTGTGTCGATTGACTATATATAACAGAATTATTACTTAAGCCGGGATGATTGACTTGATGCTGCACACCGACGTAGGCTCGGACAGGTTGAGGCTGAAGCACAGGAGTATTTTAGAAACTCGCTCTGTTCATCATCAGGACCCCAACAGATTGCTCAACTGGAACAGATTAATTGTGGGAAATGCGCTCAGCATGTTTCAGGATGACTAATGACCGATGATAAAAAGGTGAGTAATGAACCAAATCTTTGTTTCATTAGGAAAATCTGTAATATAAAACAAAACTGTTTAGAAGCGTTATTTCCCCCACTTTTCCAAATGTTTTCCGTCTTACTTTAGCAGTTTATGTTAGATTGATTCGCTAAAATGTCCCTTACTGTATTCTTATTGTCTAGTTTAGCCTATATATACATTTAAAGTTGATATAAACTAGGTAATAGGGTGACCAGACGTTCTGAAAATTTCGGGACAGTCCCAAATAACGAGCAATTATCCCGATTCCTGTCTGGTTTGTCCCGAAAATTAGACTTAACATGAGTTTTGATTATAGCCTAATTAAACATTAAATAGGCTACTGATCATTGTGTGGTTCTCAGGCTCCAGCGGGGTTGCAGGTTATCTGTACATTGTGTTATAGCCATAAAGAAACACTCGTGCTCTTTTCCCCTTTTTGTTTTCTTGTGGTTTGTGGAAGTTACAGTCGCGAGGACAGGGAAAGTCTAGCTTCAGGCAGCCGCGGCGGAGAGATCTGACACGCGCGTTGCGCAAACAGCTGTGACAGACACCCCTTATGAAATGAATAAAATAATAAACTAGGTAAAAGATCATGGTTTACCCATGTTATACCCACAGTTGTTGTGTTTTTCCTAATGACAGACAGGCGACCTCATGAACTAAAGTAATTCATTTAATTTTAGCGTTGTGTTTTGATTCTCACGTGTTTTAATGGTCATTGACACTGAACATAGCCACGCCCCCCTCTCACTCCCTATCCGCAACATGCAGCAGGGCAAGGATGGCGATTACATTATGGCCTATCTTTTGTTTTGTTCTCGAGTTTCACCTCTGGGGTACAAACAGGTAGCCTACTCAGTCAGAGAGGAAGATCTGCAAACAGCGGTTGAAATGACATTAAACACATTTTTCGGGGGAAAAAAATAGTTTTGTCAAATGTTCATGCACGGATGAAACCTTATAAAGTTATGAACGCTTGCGTTTTTTTCGGGTTGACTTTATTTCCTTATTGTTTGGGGTCCCACTAGGGTGACAAGACGAGAATAGGTGAAATTCGGGACAGGGTCGGGGTGGGCGTGGCACCCAGTAGGCTACATTACATTCAGTCTCATCGAACAGTAAAACCGTAACACCTCAAAATCTCTCGAAAATGTATTATTTTGTTCATGAAGTCATTTTGTAATTTAATTCATTTCATCAGTGCGGTGCCTCACATCGCATCTGTCTGCGCAACGCGCCTATCAGATCTCTCCCTCTCCGTGGCTGCCTGCACTTCCCCAGTCCTTGCGACTGTAACTTTCACTATGTTTATCTACAATACAATACAAAAAGAAAGGCGAAAGAGCATACTTTGTGGCTATAACAACTCTGGTGTCACGATGTCCCTTGCAGTCCCTGCTGTAGCCAATGGACAGCCTGAACAGTGTCCAACACCAAAAGAATGCTTCATAATGACCAGTAGGTTATATAATGTTTTATTATGCTATTACAGGTTTAGTTTGCTTTTAATTTGGGACTGTCTCGAATTTTCTGGAGTTGTGAAAATCTAAGATAATAATAAAATACAAAATAAAAAAAAATCCTTTTAAATACGCAGGAGGCCCCCTGTGCAAAAGTTTTAGGCAGGCGTGGAAGAAATGTTTTAGGTTTTAAAAATAGGCATGTGAATAGATTGTATTTATTTATATTTATCTGACGCTTTTGTCTAAAGCGACTTACAATTGCTATACATGTCAGAGGTCGCATGCCTCCGGAGCAGCTAGGGGTTAAGTGTCTTGCTTAAGGACACATTGGTGTCACTGTGGATTCAAACCCAGGTCTCTCACACCAAAGGCATGTGTCTTATTCACTACGCCACCACCATTTAGTTACCATTTATCAATTAACAAAATGCAAAGTGAGTGTACAGAAGAAAAATATAACTCAAATCAATATCTGTGACCACCCTTTGCCTTTAAAACTGCATGAATTCTTCTAGGTACACTTGCACAAAGTCAGGGATTTTGTAGGCATACAAACACATCAGGTGTATGATTAAACAATTATACCAAACGTGCTAATGATGGCCACTACAATATGTAAGTTGAAACACAAAAGTGATGGTGTGGCCCCCACAGAGCCCTGACCTCAACATCATGTCTGTCTGGGATTACCTGAAGGGAGAGAAGCAAGTGAGGCTGCCAAAATCCACAGAGGCAAGATGTTTGGGCGATAAGTCAATGTTGACTATTGATTTCACAAGTGAATCAGCAGCCTCCTGGGTGAAAGTTCTCTATGTCGTCCCTTTATACTTTGAGCGCTTGTGCCAGTTCCAGGCTGATAGACAGATGAGTGCAGCACACACCGCTGCACACATAGTTATTTTGTGTAACTGACTTGATTTGCTGTTAACGAGGCTCGCCACGACACAATGTTTTTTACCCAAAGAAAGAAAGAACTTTTAAATTTAACAAATAACATCTGCCAAATTTACAAGAAGGCACAAATAATAAAGAATTTGTTGTAGAAAGCTACTCTAATGCCTGAGCCACTAGCCAACCTATTAGCCCAAGCAGGTGCAAATAGAAACATTTCACTGCTGCTGTTTATACAATCACTCAATAAATAAAGCCTACTGGTAGTTGGGTTATGAGTATTGCAGAGTTTTGGGGAACTGTGTCTAAAAACTCCCAATGGCTGGGAAATGGTTCCAATTCAGCTGGCAACTGAAAAACCACTTAATGTCTGCTTTTATGTGTGGTAAAAGATGTTTTGCTTTTTGGCAATTCTGAGAGATTATCATCAAAGATAGACTCGAAATAAAATCAAACTCTTTTTGTTTGAATGTTGAAAATAACATAAGAAAATGAAAAATGAAAATGCCAATCAGGTCAGTTTCAAGCATGAAATGTCAAATATCATCAATGTTTGGATTTAGCAAAGATAAACGTGAGGAATGCTTGAATCTGAGCAGAGATAGTCTCTGATGTATATTCAGAAACTGAAAGGATCATTTTTAGGCCTGATTGTCCCGAAACATGTCACCAAGCCCAAAAGGTGCACAAATAACCAGCAACCAGACAAAGTGCAGATTGTGCGTTAACACAGTTTAGTCTTGCTCCTTGTTTTATTGCCTTTGTTAATCTTCAATTCATCCCTAAGAACCAACAATAACATTATAATAATTAACATTTATCATTGCCCAAGTCATAATATTAAAGTAGCACAAGTTATGTTGTTGCCTATAAAATAAAATGTCCATAATCACAGTATTTCAGCCATGAACACCATGTTTTCTGGGTGAAAAGCATATTATTTGTATTTTTCTTAAAGCTGCAATCTTTCAAACTAAAGCAAAGTTGGATGAGAAAAAGGCGTTTGGAAAGTGTGCTGTTGGTTTAAGCTAGGGTAGACAATTTATTTCAGAAGGAGTTTTTGTTCTATTTGTTGAAATTCTCTTTATATCCTGACAGCAATCAATAAATCAAATTCTCTGGCACAAAAATGAAGAGAATCTGTGGCTGTCACAGAACTGTAATAAGCATGGCCAGTCATTTTATTCCGTGTGAAAGGCATACCTTGCCTTTCGCCCGATGTCAGCTGGGATTGGCCCCAGCCCCCCCGCGACCCTGTACGCAGGATAAGTGGTTGACGATGGATGGATGGATGGATGGATGTATAGCACATGCTTTCTTTTTTCTCCTTTCTTTTTTATATCTCACGTGTGTGATTTTTGGTGTATTAGTAATTTAAGATATACTCTCGCCAATCATGCAAGGTGAAAGAGTTTTGGTCTGGTTATTAGAATTTGCTCCTTTCATTGAGAAAGAGGGAATTTCGGAAGTGTAGTTTAATGTGCTTCATGGAGACTTGGCTACACCCGGATATTTATGACCAGTGTCTCCATCGACGGCTTTCAGAGAGCGGGAAGCGTAAAGGCGGGGGGCTTGCCGTTCTAGTTTACAACAGATGGTGTAATCCCGGTCACATTATGGTTAAACAACTTATCTGCAGCCCGGACACTGAACTGCTTGCTGTGGGACTCCGGCCATATTATTTACCACGGGAAATCTCACATGCCTTTTACATTCCGCCCTCTGCCAACCCGATGTCAGCGTGTATTGTCATCCTACTACTCCCTCCTCCTCCTCCTCCTCACTGTCCCCCACCCTCCTGGGAGACCCCTGTTCCCCCGTCCTCTGGCTCTCAGGTTAACTGCCTCCTCCAGCCTGACGACTCCTCCCCTCCCCCATCTGTGTCCTCTGTGTGCCTCACTGCTGACCAGGTGAGAAGACAGCTGAGGAGACTCCACTCCAACAAGGCTGCAGGCCCTGATGGTATCCGCCCCGGGGTGCTCAAAGCCTGTGCCCCCCAGCTATGTGGAGTCCTTCACCATGTCTTCAACCTGAGCCTGTGTCTTCAAAGAGGCCCTGTGCTGTGGAAGACATCTTGCCTCGTGCCTGTACCAAATACACCACGTCCTAGTGGCTCCTAGTCAGACTTCTCCAGTGCTTTCAACACCATCCGGCCGGCCCTGCTGGGTGAGAAGCTGACAGCGATGCAGGTGGATACCCCCCTCGTGTCCTGGATGGTTGACTACCTGACTGGCAGACCACAGTATGTGCGCCTGCAACACTGTGTGTCAGACAGCGTGTTCAGCAACACCGGGGCCCCGCAGGGGACGGCCCTCTCTCCCGTCCTCTTCACCATCTACACCACGGACTTCAACTACCACACAGAGTCCTGTCACCTTCAGAAGTTTTCTGATGACTCTGCTGTGGTTGGATGTATCAGCAGGGTGAGTACAGAGCTGTGGTGGGGGACTTTGTCACATGGTGTGAACTGAACCATCTGCAGCTCAACGTGACAAAGACTAAAGAGCTGGTTGTGGATCTAAGGAGAGCCAAGGCACCAGTGACCCCTGTTTCCATCCAGAGGGTCCCTGTGGACACTGTGGAGGATTACAAATACCTGGGAGTGCACATGGACAATAAACTGGACTGGGCCAAGAACAC